TGTGACTTGAACCTCTCTTAAGCGACCGCGGCCTCTTTTGGGATTACCCAGCTGGACTATTCCTTTGTTTTTAAGCTCTTGTAAGCGGCCGATCAGAGTCTTTTACAAGTAATTCAACACTTAAAAGAAACTGCACTCTGCGCTAATGCCTATTTTGGTCTAAAAAATTGAACGTAAAGGTTGATAGGACACTCATTCAGACCTCTTTACTCGCTGCATTAGGGTGGCATTTGAAATTTTTTCAATTTTTTAATTTTCTGGTAAAAAATGTTGATTTCTATTTTCTGAGGAAAAAATTAATTTTCCGGGAAAATCGCACTAAAATGCTCGAACAAAGCTTAATACTTTTGCCTCGCTAAAATACTTGAAAAAATACTAACATGATGTACAAAAGCCTAGAAAGGGTGGAAAAACGTTTATTTTTCCTTCCCCTGCCCCCACCACTTACTCCTCTTCAACCTCACTCCTTCTAGAGTACTGGATCTAGGATGCTTTTTCGTCTCTCTCCAAGCCTCTTCCGAGTTGGAATCGCTTGGTCAAAATGCGCTCGCTCGTTTCTCGCTCGCCAAAATAGACATGTGGGATGTTATCGAAGAGAAATTTCGGCATTCTTTTATAGCACTGTATTTTTTTCCTTTATTCCAAACAGTTATCTTCACTTACATTCTACATTGGACAGTGCGAGTATAAGTTTTGCTCTGATTTTGGTCTGCACTTTCTCTATCTCGAGCCCTGTAACCGGCAGTCCCGTTAGTCCTAAACCAAACTTACGTCCACAGAGCGACTCTGTCTCTACTTCTGTTGATATAGTCTATGTGGTGCTTATTTCCTCTTGCCCCCTGAGCTCCAACGGACCTGTTTTATTCCATCAAACCCTGTTTTATTCAGATTTAAAAGGTATGGAAAATCAGTTTGAAATGGGTCAAAAAATCCGAGGAGATCTTAGGATAAGGTACAATAAAACATCACCGCCAGAAACGAGCGTGGCGCGCGGGAATAAAGCATATGGACCATCTAGAACGATCTAGAGGACGATCTAGAACACCGTAACTTGTCGGCGACAAATATATTGTAAACAAGAAGGGGTACGAGGTGAGGGATATGAGAAACGCCACGGAAATTTGGGAACTGTACTCTTCGCAAGCCTCCTTTCTCTCATTTCCAATTCATCTGGCTCAAAAGAATGATCTCGCTTACCTTGGGCGATAAAGTTATACAGGGGCTAGAAGAAGCATGCAATTTTTTTGACGGCAGTTGCCTGCTGTAATCCGCGATCGTGCGCATTTTCCTTACCCCCTACAGTAGAAGGGCCCTGTTGATTCCAAGCCTCCCTCCCGCCACCCCCCACCGTGTATTTTTCAGTCATTTGCAACTCTTCCTGCCTCATGCCGCAGGGTAGAGCTATAACATGTCAGCCAGGGGTGTGACATTATCAAAGGCAATTTTATCTTTCAGTTTTTAAAATACGTACGTCTGTCGTTGTTTATCTTTAAATTTCCTGATTGTCTTCAATACAAAATGTATGAAAACGGAGTTTATAAAGTTGTTGGGATTCTGCACTTTTTGAGCGAACCCGAGCTCTATTCTCACCCCCATGTACGCGAAATTTTGGCTGCTTGGCTGCTGTTGTTATGATTCAATTACAGGAGCCCCTGTTCAATGTAATGATAACTAGAGATCAGATTCTTCAAATACACTTGCGGATTTGCAAAGCTATCACTGGTTCTCAAACATGTGGTAACGAATAAAAGAAATTCCCTGACGGAAAGGAATGCCAGTTGTTGCATTATTTGTTAAGTTTTGATACGTTTCTGAGATTCATTGCTTCTCGAAAAACCATGGTTACAGGCAGTAATAAAGATGCATTTATTTGTGAACCGAATCAGCAGTTACCCGCCGAACTATTCAACTTTCATCATCAATTAGAGAAATAGAATTTTGATCTTGTCCCATTGGTCGGGCATTTACAGTCTTTTCGAAACTCCACTGTGGGTGTTTGCAAAAAATACTGAATTCTAGCTCATTGTAGGACATTTGCAACTTTGATTCAGAAAAGATACAAATGCCCGACAAACACCACATCCAGGAAATAGCATAAAATAATTCCCAAGACCAGAAGAACGAGAAATCGAGGTGCAGATTAACCAGGACGAGAGAAAATATATCTTTTAAATGTTCAGGTCAATTGGAGATTGGCCACTTAGGCAAACGATTTCGCGCTAAGGCCACCCACCCCACCGAATGGCTGTTAATCGGCCTGAGACGAGCGAGACCGCCTCCCGACCTGGGAAAATTTATCATTTATTTATCATATCCGGCTTGACGCTAGAAACCGGCGTTAGAACAAGACAGTGTGGATGATTAGACACTCGCTTCAAACAGTCAGGGAAATGTATGCAGCCGTCTCCCTCGCCGACAGCGGAATATAGAAAACTGAGATTTGAAATTTCCGCACTGAGAATTGGTGAACGGAGAGAATTGGAGAAACGCGTCGCCTTTTTTACCCGCCTCTTTTCGCGTAGCTTGTATGCAGCCGCCTCGCACTCCTCAAGAGAAATCGAAGATGTACTCTGCCTAATATTATTCTGACGACATATGCGCTTTTCCTAGTTCGTCTACATCTCTCAAATCAGTAAATTGCCGGTTTTCCCATTATCTTACGTGTACAGCCAGACTATGTTTTTAAGAGTTCCAATTTCATGAAAATTCCTCCGGCCATGCAGATACTGCCAATCACCCCTGGAGAGTCTGCAATATAGCATATTCCATGAATATTGTTTAATTACAAGAAGTATTCAAAGCATTTGATAAGTCTTTTTGTAATAGTTCAGAATTTTATTGTCAAAGCCTTGAGAAAAGATGTTTTCTGAAGAAACTTCCTTGCTAGTAATCCGAGGATTGTATTTCAGTTTCTAGGTGATGCAGTTTAATATCCGGCAAAGTTATGAGTTGTTGGATGGCACCCTCACTCGCGATTACCCACGGCGGCAGTAAAATGTTTCAAAGTTTCAGTATTTAAGCTCTTAATAACTAAAAACAAGCAAACCCCCCGCAATGATTAATTGTTGCTGCTTTTTACAATTCGTCGTTTTTTTTCGGGGCATACTATATTTGAGTTTTGACCTTTTTCCCTTGAGTTTTGCACTTAAACTGTTTCAGTTTCGCGCTTCACTTTCGTCAAATGTCTCAATCTATTGCGCCAAAACAAGAAAAAAGCCTGAGGCTCAAAAAACGTCAATAAAAAAGAAATTCATTGTTTTTTTGTAACAGTTGTCCTTATTGATTTTTTTTACACAAATACGGCAGGATAAGACTTAGAGTTGTAACAGTAATTACAAATATTTTTTGAAATTAGAATCAAGTAAACTGTTGCATTGAAATAAAACAAATAAGTCATCATTGTTTTTGTCAGTTCTGCTGACTCGACTGATTTTGTACCCATGCAGAAATCAAGTTATGTCACGGAAGAAAAAGCTTGTCACGGCATCGAATTCATTAGTATAATTAATGTCGAATGCATAATCACGCCACCCAAGTCACGCACATTCCTGTACTTACACCTGTATCATATTAAAGAATCTGGTATAATGGTATTGCGAGTATTGGTCTTATATTCGTATTAAATCCGTTTAGCAACAAGGTATCATTAAACGGTTGCTTTTGTTTCCAAAACAAAATACCACACACACACATACTGAAAATATCGTTTTGAATTTAGCGAAACGAGTTTCTTTCTGAAACAGCTTGTCTCAAGAAACCTTTAAGTATTCGTTGTTAAACACTTGTTTGTTGTTAGGGTTGTTTTTCTTTTCTTTTTGTCCGTGAAAGCTGAGAAAAAGTCACGAAATTTGAGTTGCCTTATTTTAGCCAACTGCAATATTCGTACCCCCCTCTAGGGCCAAATTGCAACTCGTCAGGAAAGTTATAAGAAGATAAATGTTGATCAAAATAATAAATAGTGGTTTTTCAAATCATTCTAAGATTTTTGAATTTATGGAGGAAAAGCTAATTTTACTCGTTAAAGAAGATTGCAATCTATATTGTAAAAGAAGTTGTTGTTAGTTTTTATCACTATAATTCCCAAATTTATAGCAAAACATTACAGATTGTTGAGAACCTCTCCATAGTGGTCAGCTCAGGGCTTTAGTGAGCTGTATCTCGTGTTTGAAGTAAAAGTTCAGGCTCGGTGCGATGAATGCATTTGGGTTATACTCACAAAAATGGAGGGTTTTATTGGCATATGGGGCCATTTCAGCGCGTGAAAGTTTTACCTGCGTTCAGAACGAGTAAATCTGCGGATTGAAGCGCTTATCTTGGGGTCGAAAACATTGTTATACCTGCCGTAGAACGGCTTTTACGGCTTGAAGCGGGAAGGACAGCGGTTGCGGTGCATTCAAGATTTTTTCTGGCTTTTCTTGTGGAAGTTTGAATATATATCAAGGAAGTGATTAATTTATTGGTGCACAGACGTTTATTTGTATCTTTTTGCGGCGAGCCATATGCGGCGATTTACCTTACATGCAGTTTTGCTTTTATTTATGATGGACTGAGGTAATCGATTCATGACAATGGCCGTGGTTCACTGGTCGCACATACTCTGGTCAGAAGTTTGAGGAATTTTGGCTGTCATTGGCTTGAACTTTTGTTGGACTGGAAGTGCCTTGTGTTTGGAAAATAACTTGGGGAATTTCTTTTACGGGAAGCGTGGAAAAGTAGACATTTGTTAGCGTATTTTGGATCCGTTGTATGGATCGGCCAGATTCCGTGATTGGTTCACGCGCGTAAGAGTCGAAATTTAAAACTCCCTCCTTTTTGCTCGCTGCACAACTTTTGTACTGTAGTAGTCGCACAGTTTAATCGAGGAATACAATGTTTCAACCTTCGCACTTTCAAAAAATGGCCAAGCATTTGGGCATAGACTCTCTTTCCTATGAGAAGGAATACAATGGATTTATGGCCAAGTTGAAGAACTTCCACGAGTCTAAGGGGTAAGATGTGCAGAAGTTTAAAGGTTTCTCGCTTCGGAAGTTTCTGTGTTGTTGCTGTAAAGCAGGAAATTAATTCTGTCTTATGCTTTGTCGTCTAGGACGCCGTTTAGACGATTACCGTGGCTGGGTGGGCAGTATTTAGACTTGTATCTTCTGTACCGTAAAGTAACTTCAGCCGGTGGCTGGGTGAAGGTAGGTCGGTGAAATTCCCGCGTTTTCTTCAAACTTTATAATGGCCTTGTTCGATTTTTCTCGGCCAAAGAACGGTTGAGATGTGAGTTAATCAATGTCTATCCATTTGCTAGGTTACAGAAGAGAAGAGGTGGCGAGATATCGCTGAAGTTTTCAATTTACCGCCAACCTGTACGAATGCAGCTTTCGCTTTGCGACAGCACTACTCTCGGTAAGTGAAATAAAAAACTTCAATTTGCGTCGGGCGTTTTGTCTATTTAGGACATTAACTTTACAATTAGTAAACACTCACACAGAAATATAAACGAGACGTTATGTCTGCATAAAAGTAATGCTACGTTTGGCCCAACAAAAATGACGTTTCTTGTCGGGTCATATCTGAGCAACACGATTCTTGTATAGTCGCGTTACAAGTGAATTGATGATGAGCTCATGAATGCACTGAGGAACTTCCGTTAGCCCTAAAAACGTATTTACCCTCAAATTTACTTCGTGTTAATCTAAACTGAACTCTGTTTGTTGATCATTGTTGAAATTTTGAACGCTGTTCGGAGTTATAAAGATGAACAGCTTGTTAGTTCCTTATTCCAGGGGATGTCCTGATCTGCTGTCAATGACATTGTTTCACTTTACTCGACAAATGGTTTCCCAAATTCCCGTAATCTTACACATAAATTGTTCAGGGATTATTTTTACGGGATAATTTCCGGTTCTCTCGACCTAAAATCTGTCAATTTCTTCGAAACTATCTGTGTATTTTTTTAAAAAATTGGTAAAAAAAAAAATAAAACAAAAGATTTTGCTACTTCTTTGTGTGTGGCTATGTTTATTGTGACCCGTCAGATCGAATTTCTGTGGTTGTCATATTCAATCCGTCGAGTAAATTGTAAGAGTTTTTGTTGTTCCCGATCACAGTTTTACCTTAAGCAACGGAAATATACCTTTGAACGTTGAAGAAGGGCTGGCAAGATGCGTTTGTAGTGTATATTTCATTATGCAAATGAAAACGTGCTTCTGTGGAACAACAATTGTCTTTTGGCATAAGTCGAACATCGAGAGTTAATACTCTGTACGTTAGTACAATGTACAATTACTAAGACACATTTGTTTTATGTTATAGTTGGTTGCTCAGAAAGTAAGTTATTGAGTGAAATTTTAAAATGTGTCTCTCCTTCATATAGCATGTTACTGGATAATAGAAAGCTTGTGAGCATAATCAATAGTATGTGATAGGCGAGACACATAATTTTGCGCTATTAGCACTTCTTTACAAAGGGGATTTTTTTTTTGTACCTCGTGAAAGGGAATAGGGGCAGAGAGAGGTGTTTGATCTAAAACTTTCTTGAATTATGGCCTTAAAGGGAAGTAGCTTCAGTCAGTGTGTTTTGCAATTTACTCATATTTTTTGTATGATTAGTGATTAGTTCTTCTTAATCCTATATTTCAATCTTTACTCTTAAAATGACAGATCTCTTGTTATCATTCAGATTAAAACTCATTTAATATATCATTTTACTTTATTTTGAGCATAAATTAGACTTGAACCAGTTTTCTCTCGTATTAATTTTGTTTTGCTGTGTGCAAAGGAAGCCTGATTTAGAGAAAACAAGTTTTGAAAAACAGTTAAAGAAATAACATATTGCTCATTTGAGAAACTGTTTACTTAATGATTTCAGAACAATGTCATTTGATATGAAGGCATTTAGTATTGACTGTTTTTAGACCTGAACAAATGGCCATGGTGTGTTTTGAAACTCTTTGTGCGTTGTTTTATCATTTTTTGGCAGTTGCTTAGTAGCTAAGTCCTGGCTATAATTATCTGGAGAGATTAGTCTCATTTTATTGACGCATTCTTCCTGTGGATCTACATGTACCTATTTCTAAGGACAACACTCTCTAGCATTTCTGACAACTGTTGCTTTTTCTAAGGGCTTTTTTTTCCAGTCACCGTAACCCATAGTTTTTAAAGTAATCTATTCAACAGGGTAGTAATTTCAGGAAATAGTCCAACCAATTTCACTCTTTCTTGCATTGTTCCCATCTTTTTCTGGTTGTATATGCAACAGTTTATTTGTGGTCTCTTGATATATAAAGGAAATTAGGGGTCTTAATTCAGTGTTGAGTATGCCTATTTCTGAGAGGGGGTTTGGAAACTCATCTTTGAAGGGATTTGCATCTCTTAGTCTAATTTGATAGCCACCATATGTCACCTACAAGGCTGTGCTATAAAAACACCCAGGTGCTACAGGAGACTAACTTTTACCTTTGGGCGACTGGAAAAACATGCTTTGTTCATGTAAGCCTAAGTGCTGGGTACCGAGGATTTCATGGTTAGGTGGGCTTCTTAGAGTTTTTCTTAGATCACAGCCTTGACTTAGCATTTCTAAATATAGATCAACCACACTTACCAACATATTGGTATGGTGATCAAGGAACAGTTAAGATACTCCACATTGCATTCACCAACACAAGTCAAGACTGGGCATGTATTTGTATACATGCATTTCTATATTCATGTTTAAGATATAGTCAGTTTTTGTTTTACCAGCTTTGGGATAGTGGACTTATAGAGATAATTATTAGTAAATCATTAGTAAATGGCCATTGTTTCATACTTGATCCCTGTCCTTTTAGTCATTAACTTACAAGAAATGTCAAAATTAGCTTAAGACTTGCATGACATTCTTGTTAAAGCATGATTGGTAATGTAAAGTGATTCCCTCTGCAAATCACATTTGTACATACATATAAACAAACCCTAACACTATTTTGAATATTAGGCAATAATTTCAGCAAATGTCAGTAGTAATATAAAAATGTTTCTCATTCTTCCTATCTTGAAAGTTATTCTCGGCAATGAAATAGACAAGTGCCGTTGTAAACTTGAGGCTGGTGGGTAATTTCTCCTTCCATACAAGTTAACCCTTTCTTCATGGGATTTCAAAAGCATACTGATTTGAACAAACTTGAAAATAACATCACAGAAAGTGTGGCTTTCCTGTCACGACTACCACTTACATGCATTTGTGCCCTTTATTCTTGTTTACTTTTGTAAGTTAAACTTCACACTTGTTAGGGATATAAATACAGGTATTGACTGCTTAAAATCACCTTAGAGTCTAAATACAGTCTACTGACTAGTTGACTCATAAGTTTGTCTGGGGATTCTTGCATTCTTCAAACATTGCTTTCAGATTTACTCTTGACCACCAAAATCCTTGAGAGAATTTCTGGCACTTTCTCAAACCATCCCAACATTTCTAGCCAAGCTCATCTCAAGAGGAGTACTCTTGAACATTTGCCATTTTTGTGCGCATCAAGTTGCAGCACTGACATACAAAAAATTACCTTCTTATTTTAGGTTGTCTGGAAAACCTGTGTAGTGAATAGTGAATAGTCGTGAATACCGAACAGCAAATAGTCCCGAATAGCGAATAGTACTAATAGTCTCGAATAGTGCAAATAGTGGCGCACAGTCTCGAATAGTGGCAAGTAGTGGCAAATTAGTGGCGAATCGTAGCAAATAGGGTACCCAGTATCTCGCAGTCAACCTCGCAGCAACTTAGGACAGGATTTTCCCACTAAAAAGCACAGATGCTTATCAGGACAAAAGGTGTTTCTAAACGTAATTTCTTCTGTTTTAACCACTCCAAAAGCATAAATACGTCTTTATTAGGTTGTCCTTGTGTTTTCTGTTTTCTTAATGTCGGCGATGGACAGCCTGAGCCTGAGTCCGGAGAAGAAAAGGCTATAAATTCACTGAAATTCTGTTGCTTATTTGGATAATTAATTAACACAGGATATTAGACCTAAAGCGGTGACTATTGACGACTATTTGTCACCATTCGCCACTTTTCGCAACTGTTTGCCACTATTCGCAAATATTCGCTATTCGCTATTCGGGTTTCCTAGACACCCCTTATTTTAATACATTAAAAAGTTTACTTTTTAATGATCAGGTACTTGGAAAGCTTTGAGAGAATTAACTTCTTTGGAGAAGATGCAGAAGATGTACTTTCAGCTGGAAGACCTCATACACCAGTTGGAGGAGGCACATTCCCCACACATGTACCCTCCGTGGCAGCATCAGGTGTGTAGACAACGTGGAAACATACTCTCTACTTTGACACAGGAGATACTGTGTTTACAAATGCTCTGATTAGCTTGATTTCATGTATCTTTTATTACAGTTAACTTTTATTTCAAAGCTGTTATGGCCGGGACTTTTGTTATGGTGTACCCCACTTTTGCATGTACTTGACCTAAAACGATGTTCTAAGATGAAGGCTGTACTCTACTGTATTCATGTACATCATATCTGTTTCAGAGACAAATGTGATGCTTCCGCTAGTAAGATGCTTCAGTTTTTGCGTTAATGAAAACATGTTTGTTTGATTTTCCAGATTATATTTCTGTCATTTCCACAAGCAAAGGTATTGTTTTCAACCATGTTTCTTTGTCCACTACCACAGCTGTTGTTTAGTTTTGATTTGATTGATGTGTCCTTGTTAACTTGTAACTTGTTCAGTTATCATTAACAGTTTCCTTCATATCAGTTGACAGACACTTTCAGTACTTTGAATGTATGTTGTCAGTAGCTTTTCATATTATGTATTTCTTTTCACTCTACAGATCCCACAAGAAACTTTGATAAGCTTGTCCTTTCTCTTCAGTGTGGCATGCCTAATGAAGTGGATTTTGCCATTAACATTTGTATGCTTTTGTCAAATGTTAGCAATTCTGTTTTTAACTTAAGCAAGGTAGGTTTTATTTCAGTAGGGTTTCTATTTTAGAGTAGTAATTCAACAGCTAATCCCAAATTGTGAAACTGTGGGTTGTCTTTTGGTCTGTACAAAAGTAAAACTATGTTAGATTGAAAGTGTTTGTTCTCAGTCTGTATCCCTTCACACTGTGTCTGCTGGATGCCAAAAGCACAATTTTTTTTTTTTGTAGCACTGCTGTACAAATTCTATCAGTAGTTACTAGTCTCAAAATTGGCAATCTAATGTTATTAAGCTCATCCATTTGAAACAAGGTCACTTGTCAGAATTCTGGTAAGGGCCAATGGAAGGGTTCGAATTNGTGTGTGGCTATGTTTATTGTGACCCGTCAGATCGAATTTCTGTGGTTGTCATATTCAATCCGTCGAGTAAATTGTAAGAGTTTTTGTTGTTCCCGATCACAGTTTTACCTTAAGCAACGGAAATATACCTTTGAACGTTGAAGAAGGGCTGGCAAGATGCGTTTGTAGTGTATATTTCATTATGCAAATGAAAACGTGCTTCTGTGGAACAACAATTGTCTTTTGGCATAAGTCGAACATCGAGAGTTAATACTCTGTACGTTAGTACAATGTACAATTACTAAGACACATTTGTTTTATGTTATAGTTGGTTGCTCAGAAAGTAAGTTATTGAGTGAAATTTTAAAATGTGTCTCTCCTTCATATAGCATGTTACTGGATAATAGAAAGCTTGTGAGCATAATCAATAGTATGTGATAGGCGAGACACATAATTTTGCGCTATTAGCACTTCTTTACAAAGGGGATTTTTTTTTTGTACCTCGTGAAAGGGAATAGGGGCAGAGAGAGGTGTTTGATCTAAAACTTTCTTGAATTATGGCCTTAAAGGGAAGTAGCTTCAGTCAGTGTGTTTTGCAATTTACTCATATTTTTTGTATGATTAGTGATTAGTTCTTCTTAATCCTATATTTCAATCTTTACTCTTAAAATGACAGATCTCTTGTTATCATTCAGATTAAAACTCATTTAATATATCATTTTACTTTATTTTGAGCATAAATTAGACTTGAACCAGTTTTCTCTCGTATTAATTTTGTTTTGCTGTGTGCAAAGGAAGCCTGATTTAGAGAAAACAAGTTTTGAAAAACAGTTAAAGAAATAACATATTGCTCATTTGAGAAACTGTTTACTTAATGATTTCAGAACAATGTCATTTGATATGAAGGCATTTAGTATTGACTGTTTTTAGACCTGAACAAATGGCCATGGTGTGTTTTGAAACTCTTTGTGCGTTGTTTTATCATTTTTTGGCAGTTGCTTAGTAGCTAAGTCCTGGCTATAATTATCTGGAGAGATTAGTCTCATTTTATTGACGCATTCTTCCTGTGGATCTACATGTACCTATTTCTAAGGACAACACTCTCTAGCATTTCTGACAACTGTTGCTTTTTCTAAGGGCTTTTTTTTCCAGTCACCGTAACCCATAGTTTTTAAAGTAATCTATTCAACAGGGTAGTAATTTCAGGAAATAGTCCAACCAATTTCACTCTTTCTTGCATTGTTCCCATCTTTTTCTGGTTGTATATGCAACAGTTTATTTGTGGTCTCTTGATATATAAAGGAAATTAGGGGTCTTAATTCAGTGTTGAGTATGCCTATTTCTGAGAGGGGGTTTGGAAACTCATCTTTGAAGGGATTTGCATCTCTTAGTCTAATTTGATAGCCACCATATGTCACCTACAAGGCTGTGCTATAAAAACACCCAGGTGCTACAGGAGACTAACTTTTACCTTTGGGCGACTGGAAAAACATGCTTTGTTCATGTAAGCCTAAGTGCTGGGTACCGAGGATTTCATGGTTAGGTGGGCTTCTTAGAGTTTTTCTTAGATCACAGCCTTGACTTAGCATTTCTAAATATAGATCAACCACACTTACCAACATATTGGTATGGTGATCAAGGAACAGTTAAGATACTCCACATTGCATTCACCAACACAAGTCAAGACTGGGCATGTATTTGTATACATGCATTTCTATATTCATGTTTAAGATATAGTCAGTTTTTGTTTTACCAGCTTTGGGATAGTGGACTTATAGAGATAATTATTAGTAAATCATTAGTAAATGGCCATTGTTTCATACTTGATCCCTGTCCTTTTAGTCATTAACTTACAAGAAATGTCAAAATTAGCTTAAGACTTGCATGACATTCTTGTTAAAGCATGATTGGTAATGTAAAGTGATTCCCTCTGCAAATCACATTTGTACATACATATAAACAAACCCTAACACTATTTTGAATATTAGGCAATAATTTCAGCAAATGTCAGTAGTAATATAAAAATGTTTCTCATTCTTCCTATCTTGAAAGTTATTCTCGGCAATGAAATAGACAAGTGCCGTTGTAAACTTGAGGCTGGTGGGTAATTTCTCCTTCCATACAAGTTAACCCTTTCTTCATGGGATTTCAAAAGCATACTGATTTGAACAAACTTGAAAATAACATCACAGAAAGTGTGGCTTTCCTGTCACGACTACCACTTACATGCATTTGTGCCCTTTATTCTTGTTTACTTTTGTAAGTTAAACTTCACACTTGTTAGGGATATAAATACAGGTATTGACTGCTTAAAATCACCTTAGAGTCTAAATACAGTCTACTGACTAGTTGACTCATAAGTTTGTCTGGGGATTCTTGCATTCTTCAAACATTGCTTTCAGATTTACTCTTGACCACCAAAATCCTTGAGAGAATTTCTGGCACTTTCTCAAACCATCCCAACATTTCTAGCCAAGCTCATCTCAAGAGGAGTACTCTTGAACATTTGCCATTTTTGTGCGCATCAAGTTGCAGCACTGACATACAAAAAATTACCTTCTTATTTTAGGTTGTCTGGAAAACCTGTGTAGTGAATAGTGAATAGTCGTGAATACCGAACAGCAAATAGTCCCGAATAGCGAATAGTACTAATAGTCTCGAATAGTGCAAATAGTGGCGCACAGTCTCGAATAGTGGCAAGTAGTGGCAAATTAGTGGCGAATCGTAGCAAATAGGGTACCCAGTATCTCGCAGTCAACCTCGCAGCAACTTAGGACAGGATTTTCCCACTAAAAAGCACAGATGCTTATCAGGACAAAAGGTGTTTCTAAACGTAATTTCTTCTGTTTTAACCACTCCAAAAGCATAAATACGTCTTTATTAGGTTGTCCTTGTGTTTTCTGTTTTCTTAATGTCGGCGATGGACAGCCTGAGCCTGAGTCCGGAGAAGAAAAGGCTATAAATTCACTGAAATTCTGTTGCTTATTTGGATAATTAATTAACACAGGATATTAGACCTAAAGCGGTGACTATTGACGACTATTTGTCACCATTCGCCACTTTTCGCAACTGTTTGCCACTATTCGCAAATATTCGCTATTCGCTATTCGGGTTTCCTAGACACCCCTTATTTTAATACATTAAAAAGTTTACTTTTTAATGATCAGGTACTTGGAAAGCTTTGAGAGAATTAACTTCTTTGGAGAAGATGCAGAAGATGTACTTTCAGCTGGAAGACCTCATACACCAGTTGGAGGAGGCACATTCCCCACACATGTACCCTCCGTGGCAGCATCAGGTGTGTAGACAACGTGGAAACATACTCTCTACTTTGACACAGGAGATACTGTGTTTACAAATGCTCTGATTAGCTTGATTTCATGTATCTTTTATTACAGTTAACTTTTATTTCAAAGCTGTTATGGCCGGGACTTTTGTTATGGTGTACCCCACTTTTGCATGTACTTGACCTAAAACGATGTTCTAAGATGAAGGCTGTACTCTACTGTATTCATGTACATCATATCTGTTTCAGAGACAAATGTGATGCTTCCGCTAGTAAGATGCTTCAGTTTTTGCGTTAATGAAAACATGTTTGTTTGATTTTCCAGATTATATTTCTGTCATTTCCACAAGCAAAGGTATTGTTTTCAACCATGTTTCTTTGTCCACTACCACAGCTGTTGTTTAGTTTTGATTTGATTGATGTGTCCTTGTTAACTTGTAACTTGTTCAGTTATCATTAACAGTTTCCTTCATATCAGTTGACAGACACTTTCAGTACTTTGAATGTATGTTGTCAGTAGCTTTTCATATTATGTATTTCTTTTCACTCTACAGATCCCACAAGAAACTTTGATAAGCTTGTCCTTTCTCTTCAGTGTGGCATGCCTAATGAAGTGGATTTTGCCATTAACATTTGTATGCTTTTGTCAAATGTTAGCAATTCTGTTTTTAACTTAAGCAAGGTAGGTTTTATTTCAGTAGGGTTTCTATTTTAGAGTAGTAATTCAACAGCTAATCCCAAATTGTGAAACTGTGGGTTGTCTTTTGGTCTGTACAAAAGTAAAACTATGTTAGATTGAAAGTGTTTGTTCTCAGTCTGTATCCCTTCACACTGTGTCTGCTGGATGCCAAAAGCACAATTTTTTTTTTTTGTAGCACTGCTGTACAAATTCTATCAGTAGTTACTAGTCTCAAAATTGGCAATCTAATGTTATTAAGCTCATCCATTTGAAACAAGGTCACTTGTCAGAATTCTGGTAAGGGCCAATGGAAGGGTTCGAATTAACTGACAACAAATTGTTTCAAAACTATTACTAACATACAAATTCATAGAAACACATTTACAGAATGACTGTTGTTACTGCTTCTATGTAAAAATAGCATTGAAAATTTATTGATGCAAGATCTGTAGGTATTAATTAAAACTTCACTGAAGAGATAAAAACCTGCTGTACATACGTGCTTTTTAGGTAGAGTTACTCACAACAGAAAACCTGGTCCACAGTATCAATAAACAGAGAACCTGTTGAATAAGGTTTCTCAGTTGGTACTTTATTTTTTTAGGCCCCTGCAGTGGTAGATACTTTGCTGGCACATGTTGGTGTATTTTCTGAAGGTATGTTAGTATAATGTGGAAAATTATGAGCATTGGGGTCTAAATTTTGTTTTGGTTTCTAAGTTTTCAGACCAGGTAGATTTTTATTTTCATTTGTGTTGTCTTGATTATCATATTCTTTGATAGAAAAAAAAATCACAACTAACAGCATTCAGAATAATTCCGGAGGTTCAAAATAAATACAGAATCCAGATTAATATTCATATGATGCGCTATGATATGGTTATAAAACATACTATTCGTGCCTTTTCAGGCTAATAATCATATAATGCGGTGTTTCCAGTTTATTAAACTGGAAACCGTGCCTCTTAGGAATAATAAACGTGACATTGTACAAATAATATCCGTATGTGGCTGTATTTTCAGGATATTAATCATAAACGTAGCAAATTTTATCGACGAAGAATTTACAATCTTCATGCCGCCATTACGGTAAAAAATGTAATGGGCTAGAACTTCTAAACTGATGGCATTTACGGCCAAAAAGTTATCTTTGTTTATTGACTTGGCCTAAAACCATCGATAAATCTTATCAGTGAGCTATATTTTCCCTAGACGACTGATGTTTTCTATAAAACAGTCATAGCCACGAAGGACACGCAATCGATGCAAAGCCATGTTTACGGTTTTAAACTAGCTCTTTTACTGTCAGAAAGTATTCCATAGTCTCCCGAAAAAGAAAAGTAAAGGGAACAGTTGATGAATTAGAATAAAATATTCGGTGGCCGTGGGTTATTCGAAAGCGAAAACAACAACAGTCAATGGTTAAGCTCTTTACCGCAGGACATGACCCGTCGTTCGTGTTTCTTCTAGAAGTTATAACTTGGAACAGACTTTTCTTATTTGCACAGGTAAAATACATTTCATGTCCTACCGAAACTTAAAGTGAACAACAACAGTTGATTTCATGCTTTTTAGGGGTTTATTAGTAACGCAATCAAATTAAAACGAAATCAACAACTTCACAGCAAATATGCAAGCGTTTACGTTAGTGGCTTTAGAAAAGAGCTTTTGAAATATTTGACTATTTTTCACAGTGTTTCAGTTTATCAATGTCGGTGTACTTCATTTTCTAAAACAAACGAAGAATCTGGCCAATCCATTGAAACCCTGCGCCGGCAGTTCTTTTGGAATTCCCACCTTATTTGCATAGTACATTTCGCTCATTGCATGTTTCGTTCAACAGGCTATTTATTATTATCTTTCACGGAAATGCCTGTTCATTGCTTTGCTAAGGAATTCAATAACTAATACCTTTACCAAAGAAGCCATACTTTTCATAAGTACACTTAAATCTTACTATTTGCCAAACATTCGTGTAAACACAACGAATTTTCACCGTCAACGTTTTGACACATCGAACTTTGCATATTTGCTGCGAAGTTGTTGATTTCATTTTAATTTGATTGTGTTACAAATAAACCCCTAAAAAGCATGAAATCAACCGTTGTTGTTCACTTCAAGTTTCGGTAGGACATGAAATGTATTTTCCCTGTGTGATTGCAAGTGAGAAAAGTCCATTCCAAGTGATAACTTTCTGAAGAAACACGAACGCCAGGTCATGTCCTGCGGTAAAGAGCAAAACCATTGCCTGTTGTTGTTGGGTTCACTTTCGAACAACCCATGGCCACCGAATATTTTATTTTAACTAAGTGACTGTACCTTTAATTTTTCATTTTAGGGAGGCTATGAAATACTTTCTGACTGTAAAAAACTGGTAAGAAACCATAAACATTGCTCAAAGAAATACCAAAATATGCAACGGGTTGATCAGTGACAGGGCATTGCATTGATCTCGTATCCTTCGTGGCTATAACTGTTTTATAGAAAACATCAATTGTTTAGGAAAAATGTAGCTTGCTGATTACATTTATCGATGGTTTTAGGCCAAGTCAATAAATGAAGATAACTTTTTGGCCGTAAATGCCATCAGTTTAGAAGTTCTAGCCCATTACATTTTTTAATGTAATGTCGGCATGAAGATCGTAAATTCTTCGTCGGTAAAATTTGCCACATGTACAATTAATATCCTGAAAATATAGCCACATACGGATATTATTCATACAATGTCACGTTTATTATTCGTAAGAGGTGCGGTTTAATAAACTGAAAACACCGCATTATATGATTATTAACCTGAAAAGGCACGAATAGTATGTATAATAACTGTATCATAGTGCATCATACAAATATCAATCTGGATTCTGGATTTACTTTGAACCTCTGGAATTATTCTGAATGCTTTTAGCTCCTTTTTGGATTTAGACTAAGAGTTTTCCATAAGAAAAAAACATTTTTGCCCCGCATTAATAGCAGAATTTATTTCTGCTTTGATCTGATTGGCAGTGACATGAGCAGCAAAAATTTGTTTGGATTTTAATTCTAAGGGCTCATGGTTCACCCTCCAGTGTGCATGGTTTACCTTATGCGATGTATTTCATTGTTTTGTTCATTCTGTTAGAAGAATATTATTGGTTTCTTTTTACTATGTGCCTTTCAGATTCTTATGGCCTTGGAGAATTATATGAAGAGTGGTATGCTAAACAGCACTTGGAGAGAGATTTTGTTAAGGTAAGCAAGGATAGGATAGAATCCACTAGCATGACTGAAAAATCCCTGGACTATTGGACACAGTGTTCTTTGCATGCTGTGTTTATTCCTGATAATTAATATTCTTCAACTGACATTGTCATATTTGTTTCAATTAATTAACTAAAAGGCATTGTTCTCTGCAGTTCTGGAAGGAAGGTTTAACAGTAAAAGGGGTCCGGGACATTCTCTGCAGTGGCAATGGTATGGCATTTTATAAGATGAATGTTCACTTCAAGGAGTAGTAATAAGTTAGAAGTTATTTTTGAACTCCAAGAACCAATAATAACTTGTTTTCTATTTTATGTACAAATTGGAAAGCTGGTAATTATTATCAGCATAAACAAGTGGCTAGCTTCTGGAAATGGTTGCTCAGATAAGTAGAACACCCTTAGAGTATGCATTGTTTTGTTATACATCAGTGCCATGAAAGTATAAAACAAAAATATCGAATCAATTTTTATTACTATTACATTTGCTAATATTTTTCCCAACTGATTAATACTTAACAGTTAGCATAGTTGCAATGATGTTTTTCAGATGATGAAACTGCAGATCAGGATTCTCTTTTCCATCCTGCAAGAAGAAAAATTGGAGCTAAAGATGTTGAGTGCCAAAGAATTGCACAGGTTTTGTTATTATAACACCTAACCCACTTTTGTTAACGGCAACTTAACTTTACTGAAAATAATTTATATTGGGAACCTGTTTCCTTTTTGTTGTTCATGTTACCATTTACTATAGAAAAGAATCTCTGCCCTTTGTTGTGGTGTTTTTATGTAACATAAATTCATACAAATCATTTCTGTGGCTTTTGGAGGCTTCATAGCCTCATGGTTAGTGTGCTAGACTCTGGATCAAGTGGTCTGTGTTTTTGAGCCCAGGCTGGGGACATCGTGGTATGTTCTTGGGAAAGACGCTTTACTCTCAAAGTACCACTCTCCACCCAGGTGTACAAGGGGGTACCCACAAATTTAATGCTGGGGGGTAACCCTGTCATGGACTAGCATCCTATCCAGGGGTAGTAGAAATACTCCTCTTACTTCATGTTGCTGAAACCCGAGACAAGTGCAGGCCTGATGGGCCACTTGGCTTGAATGCAGAGGTTAATTACCTTTACTGTGTTTGCTATTTAGTAGATCTATGCATTAACATCACCAAGAGATTTTGATTAATTTCTCCACTCTAGCCCATCTGTTTCCTCTCATGTAATAGGTGAGAACAGTGGAGAAAGAAAAACTAGTGGTGCCATTTTGAGTGCTAGTGTTGTTAATGATAAGCACTCCTCTCTTCATCACTACATTACTATAGATACACAACAACTCAGTAGGGGTAACTGGGTCTTGATTGTCTAGTAGAGTGTTGCAATTCTCTCCTTAATGGGAATATGCGAAACAAAAAAAAGGATTTTACAAAGTTACTCAATGTGAAATGTACTCCAACTCTTGTTAAACACAGATAATGTGCTTATGGTTTGCAGTTCTCACTATATAATGCTTAGGCATGGCCCAGAGGTGGCAATAATTGTTGTTATCATCAACTTCACTGATCCTCCTACCCTGGTTTTAACAGACTAAATTATCTTTTCTCTCGTCCATGTGGTATTTCAACTTACAGTTATGTACTCTATTTCCAGGTTGGCATGATATTTTACAACTTCTCCTTTGATGACACCAATGCTACTGTGCTTGCAAGCCATCCCCTGTGCTTGAAGTAAGTAACAATAACTTTTTCCACCAGAGTCAGGCCTTCTCTTCTGCAAATAAAGTATATTTTGTATGTGTAGGTAATTTACTTAGATTGTGCAATTGCTGATAAATGCTGTCTGCTTTTTGTTATTTCCAGATTCCTTGTGCTGTGTATTTGCAGTGACCATGGATTTCTCCAAAGAATGTCTTGGGAAACCCTTTCAAATTTAGCAGAAAAGGTGTTTATAAACCAAAACATTTGAAAATTCAAATCCAACATGACATTAAATTCTCTTACTTCTTTCTTATTAAGAATGAATGCTTATCAAATCTAATAAAGTATTTTTACTGTAATTTCATAAAACAGATGTTAATGGACCCCATTGAGTCCACAACTACCCAGATGTTTTTTCAGATGCTACATTGCTTCTTGGATCACAAAGATCGTTATCATGCCATCAATGGTAAGCCTTTGATTTCAGTTAAGAAATTTAGGAGTTGGTAAAATGAGTGCTGTAATAATTTAAGGTCGAAGGAAGCAGAGCCTCACTTCTTTAACTTCTGAAATGTAAGTCTGAGATAGTGAAAAAATGAGTTTGAATTGCATGAAGATGTAAGTTTTTCTTGTGAACGGTTTAGGTTTTGACACAGAAACAAATGGAACTTGGAAATGATCAGATGCTCTCATATTAGTCTCTTTTTCAGTCAAGCTCTAAGATGCTATGTTTTCTGTGCTTTTATTAGCTATGGATGTCTTAGGAAAGTTGTGCACTCTGGAAGGAAATGATGAAGTCATTGAAACCGGCTTGGAACCTGAAGCATACCAGTCACTCATTCGAGTTTTGATTGTCAGTGATGTTCAGGTAATTAGAGAACCAAACAGGTTATATGCATAAAGCCATCTGGGCACCTGTAATTTAGGGGTGAAAGGAATTTTTATCATACATGTAAGTGTACTGTTGTTGTATTGTAACGTAAATTTTTCTTGTCAAAGCACAGTTGATGTGAATAGACATGTGAGAACTTGTGCTTTGTTTTAGTTGGTGCTGTCTTCGCTGGAATCGTTGTATAATCTATCGGGAGTAGGCCAAGTAACCTCGGACCACATTGCAGAAGTTCACCACAGCATTGGTATGTAAGCCTTGTGTTGATTAAACAGTGATTCCACAGTGCAGACACGTTTTACAATTCAAACGTGTAGGCAGGGAGAGGAATGCAGGGAGAGGAATGCAGGGAGTTCAACCACTTCAATTTGCCATTACTGTTTGATAAGGTCTAAATAAATCTTATCAGAAGGGTTTTCTTATTTGTAGACATTCTGGTGTGTCTGGTGACAATGGATGCTGAGTCGTTTGGTCCAGAAGCCTTATCTGAGGTGCAGATCTTGGAGAAAAGGATACCAACTGCTATTTCAGCAACACCAAAACTGCCGTCAGCTTCATCACCAGGTTATGTGATGTTTTGTTTTCTGTGTGATTAAATTGTCATCTAATTGTCAAAGGAGATTATTCTCATGTTTCTTTGCAAGCTTTTAGTTTAAAGTGTTGATGTTTTTATTACAGTCGCTCCACAACAACCCAAAGAACCAGTTCAACCACATCAAGTCTCCCCTGCCAGTCCATCACCTACTCCAGCACTGAGTCCTTCCCCCAATCCAGTTCCAGTCAAGACAACAGGAAGTGAAATCGACCCAGAGACATTCACATACAACTGGTAAGTGTACTGGCTCATCTGCTGTATTCATGCAAAGATTAGTGATCTGGTGCAGCTGTATTGGGGGAGAAAATGGCTGTGAATGAGATCACCCTCCCACAATGCCCTCCCTTCCATCCCTTTTGTACTGAAAGGTGCTTTTGGTTGGATCCTGGATGTTAATTAAATTTCAGTTTAGAGTCCCTGCGGTAAGTTAAGAAGATAAAATTTAGCCACCAAGTGGCTAGTGCATCAAGTTGGAGGATTAATTATTCAGGAGAACTCTGTATCCTGAGAAGGCCTGAAATGTTCCTGCCCATAGATGTGATTGTTTGAAGTGACTATGCTCATAAGCTATTTAACATTGTTTGGTCTTACTGAACAAGCATGTAAATGCAATTGTTTTGACTTTGAATAGTTTTCCAAACAAATAGGCTGTTGCTAATAACCAACTTTTTTGCAGGCTGCAAGGCACTTATGAGCCTTCTGCTGGAAGTTCTGTGTCTCGTATTGACATATATGCTGACTACCTGTCGTCTTGTAGTCGACTAGCAAGAGTGGGAATCCTTAATGCAACAGCATTCAATCGCATCATCAAGTAAGTACTAATTTGGGTTATGCCTGAGGTCTAAAAGAGAAAGACATGTGGACATTTGAAGGGAATTGTCATAGCAAGGCCAAATACAAAAGCCAGACAAGACATAACTGAAAATGCCTCCATCAAACTGTTTCCTTACAGATTAGCTTTTCCTGATGGCCAGCTTCGAAGGGTACAATCTGGGGTTAATGTACAGTATGTCCTGGCTGGATTAAAAAGGAGGTCTAACCCTCTCCCGGTTAAAAGCCGCACAGATTCACCAGCATCTCAGCAGTCTAGTACTGCCAGCTCCCACCCATCAGCTCAGCAGGCAGTGCAGAGGATGTCCCCTGGCCAACAGAGTATCGGTAGAACACCTACCCCTCCTGTCCAGACTCAAGGTAGTCCAGCCTGGAATCCTGCCAAACAACAAAACATCGTGGTGTCTCAGCAAGCACACACTCCATCCAAGCCCAGACAGGTTTCTAGTGGTAGTCATCAGCAGACGCCAGGAATGGGTCGGATGCCAAGAAGAGCAAGCATCCCAAGCCAAGGAGCAATTCAGGCAACTCCAGATCAGGTGAGTGACCGTACCATGTACTTATTTAAGATGATGAAAGTCACTTTAACCCTAAAAACTGTGTAGCAGTTCTTGTGACAGTCAGCAGTGGTTTGGTATTCAAACGTCTCACTGTACTGACCCATTCACCATATTTTCTTTCAAAAAGGTGACTGTTTGACATCAGCTCAACAGTTGAAATGTTGTGTTTATCTAACATTGACATTTTGGAGGGTACCATGAGCATGTAGCTAAGGGCCATCAGCTTTTGTCTTTTTAAGGATGTTGCTAGTAACCACTGTAAAAATCGTAGAGATTTGTATGGTTGACTGGTTTTCTTGTTTTCCTACATTTGAACAGGGAGTTAGACAGTTTCCTGCTGTAGTCATGAAACAGCAAGACCTCCAAGCACCTGTTGATCACAGACAAATGATGAGTGGGCAAATGCAGAAGAACATCGGTCCAGCAGATAAGGGACAATCTCTGGAGCGATTAGCAGCCATGCGCAGAGCAAGTGTTGAGGGAATGGGCGCATTGCAACGCCAAAATGTACAAAGCTTCCAACATCACCAAAACCAAGGACAGGTCATGCAAAGAGTGTCATTATCTCCTCAGAGTACGGGCCCACAGAGAGTGGAGCATCCACAGCAAACAGGCCACCGCATGCCACCAGTGGTACCAGCATCTCCAGGTCAGAGAGGAACTCCTGGAATCCCTCAACATGCCCCTGTTTGTTTGCCAGGAAATGTTCGCTCTCCACAGAGCCCACAAACAAGAACATCACTTCCACCTCCACGTCCTATGCAGCCAAACATGCCTCGACCAGCTCAGACACCGCCTTCAACAGGTCCCATGCAGAGACCTCTTTCACCTGCTGAATCGTCATCATATCGGCCGACAGCTGCTTACCGGCAGTCAACTCCTCCTTTTCCTCAGCAGCAGAACTTGCGGCCTTTGCCACCTGCATATAGTGGGCGGCATACGTCTCTTTCATCTTACCCACCCCTTGCTCCCAAGCCTGCACCTGGAATGAATGTGCAGTTTTCTCAGGAAAGCCAAGCAAGGAAGCAAGTTCCTTCAAACACTGCTATTGCTGGGAGTTATCCTGTTGCCCAACAGGTACCAAGATCTTCACTTCATCGTGGGGAAGCCACAAGGCAGAACTTCCAGCCACATGTACCAATTCCCAACACACCACCTTCGCCACTCCTTGCCCCCTCAATGGGGAGTAGACAGCCATTTGCTAGTTCTCAGCAAGATTTGCCAGGAAATATCAGGCCAGGACTGGGCCAGGATAGCAGACAAGTCAACAGGGAACCTCTTCCTGGGTAATATTTTATTTTGTATTTTTGTTTCGCTTTTTTGTCATGCTTTGAAACCAAAGGAAAGCAAAACCAGAGATGCCGAGATGCATATCCTCATATAATATATCAAACATGAGGGACTGTGTACATTTCCAAACACCGAGAGGAGAGCTAAAAATGCTCCGCTGCGCGTCGTATTTTTACCCATCTCCAAAATATTTTTAAATGTAGCGAAACACTTTTCGAGTGTTTGATATATCTTCTCAATCGAATTAAGGAGAAAACGAAGAAATAAAATTTGTAGAAATCTATTCTATTGAAGATAAAATATCCATAAAAATGTGATGGTTGATTGATGGGTGGGGAAATCAGTTCATGACTATAAATTACTACTTTTTTGGAGAACTTAAGACAACAGCACGTATTTTCCCAGAAGAATATTCAAGTTTAAAGGTTGTACAGGGATTGTCTGACTGGGAATGGACAGTTTGAGGACTGTAAACACCTATTGTCTTTGTCGTTAACTCTATTCGGTTTACTTGCCATAAGTTTTCACTGCGAACTTATTTTCACGGCATTTTTTTAATGTTGCGCGTCATTCGATTTTCACGTCATGAAAATGTTCTTAAATGAGACAGACTAAGTAGGGTTTACATGTTTTGTTATTTGTGACAGGAGTAGACAGGAAGGTGTTGTCCTAATAGCACAGGAAGAGAGAGCCGCGGACGTTGTTTCAACGGGCCTTGTAGACGGTGCAGAGGAACAAAAAATTGTAGTCATAGAAAATAAACATAGGACAGAAAGCACTACAAAAGGAGATGTAACTTACAACTCCACATCTACTCAGCATCCTAGGCTAGGTCAGGATAATGTAACAAACCAACAAATAAGTGTATCGGAAGGCAAATCATTGGTTGGTAGCACGTTAGTTGACAGTAGAGGTGAAATGTGCTCACCAAACATTGGCGAACATTCTGAGCAGCCAATGGGAAGGCTACCAATGAATGAGGTGGAAAGAAACTCTTTGCAGATTGTACCTAAGACTACGTTACACCCCTCCAGTAATGGCACGTTGAAAAGAGACTTGAATGAACAGATGACACACGGGAGTAATATTTCTGCGTCAAGTGAGGGAAACCTTAATGGTCAACGAGACAGTGTTAATGAAGGATGCGGGCCGGCTAAGAGAGCAAGAATGTCTTCATTGGAAAATGAACTGGATAATTCGTCATCAATTCCCTCAAGGACTGGAAGTCCAACCCCTCTTGTCAATGGTGACATCAAGGGAGATACAAGAAGTAAACTCATGGATAAACTTTTGGACAAAGATTTGCATTTGCCTTTAAATGGCGTTTGCGGAATCGATGCATCTGAACTGGACCTTCTTGCTTCTGATGGAGAGAGACTCAGCAGTAGTAAGGCATCATCACCGGATCTGTTTGGAAGTGAAACGAACTCAGATTTTGGGAAATATCTCGAGGAAAGTGACACAGATACAGGCCTGTTTAGTGACGTTTTGCAAGGAGATCTGAGGATCGATCCAATGGAAAATGGTACCGAGGGAACTCATCCAATGCCATCTAATATGCCCGCGTTTCCTGGCGGATCTTCTCACTGTGAAGGTGTGAATACATCAAACGAAAAAGGAATTCCTTCTGGAGTTGCTGAGCAACAAGGCAAAATTCCCATTCCTCCTGCAGCTAGACCGGACCCTATACCTGATCAGTACAGTGCTATGGCTGGTAGACAGCCAGTCGCTGTAAATACAGCTTGGAATTCTACGAACAATGTAACTCAAGTGTCAAAAGCTGGCTTTGGTCAACGTTTTGGACCTGAGGTTCAACAAAAGATGGCTTTCTATCCACAACAAGGGAATCTACCACCAACTGTTGGGAATAGGTCACAGATGCACAATGTTAGCATGGAAAAGCAGAGATTGGTTGATCCTCAAGCTTCGTCCGTCGTTATACAACAACCAGCAATTCCACCACATCAAAATATTCAGCCCGGCCCACAGCAAATGATTCCCGCTCATGACTCTTCATCTGCAATACATCCAACTGCAGTACCTAAAAATATATTGCCGAGACCTCCAGGTCCAGAGTTTGTTAATAGTATGTCATCAGGCAGTCAAGGAACAGGTATTCCACAATCTCTTCCAGTGTCATCACCTTTTCTTGGAGGGCAGCAAATGCCCATAGTTCAAACTTCATTACCAAGAGTGAGTGTTGGAGCGCAACCTGGCTGGGTTCAGAGTGGAGTTCAGCAGCAACAGGTGGCCAGAACTCAGCCCGCACCACAAAAGATTGTTCCTGCTGGGTTTCAAGCAGGCATGAGACACAATTTACCACCAGGATCTCAAGCTGGGCCACCAGGCTCTCAAAACGTGAGTTTACCCTCTGGTTGGCAGCAGTCGCAGCTGCAACAACCACAACAGAAATCTGTGAATGCTTTTCCAGACGTAAGAACTCAAAGTGTAGCTACTCCAGGTTCAACCATGTATGAGCCTTCCTCTTCACCTCAGATTAGGCAACCACCTGTGACGACACAGTATCCACATCCAGCTCTTGCTCCAGGTGGAAAGAATGTGGTCCAAAGCCCAGCAGTGTCTATTCCTGTGAATTCAAATGGCTCACAGGAATTTCCATCCACCTTGCCTGCACAGGGCAGTCATTTGGTGGACTCGACAGTACCTCAGCTCGCATCATTTAAGCCTTACAGGTGCCGTTGGACAACTTGCTACAGGTACAATCTAATGTTCTTGATTGACTCGACTAAATTGTATCGTAATTGACTCAACTAAATTGTATCGACATTGTAAATGGAAGGTCGTCAGAAAAAAAAAATTCTGCAAACAGTGGTTGGAGTAGGATTAAGATATTTTAAAATTAGAGTCCTTTAAAAATATGGAACAGGCACAAAGTATTTGGGTTACTCAATCCACAGATACAGAAAAGGGATGCAGTGTTGCTACTATAGGTACATGACAAGGGTACCATACACCTCGATTAATATGTATGAGCCCGTTGTGAGAGGGAAGTATCTATGTCAAGAACAATGACAAGCTCAACTCTAGACTCGTGTGTCCTGATACAGAAACCATTGCAGGTCATAGGACATGGCCTTTCGTATTCTTCAACTCGTAAAATCCAGACCCTTTTATACTTTGCCTCCGGCCTGAAAAAGGCGAAACTCTCCTGGGCAAGGTTAACTCACAAGGAGCTAGCATCCCATCCAATGAGAGTAGCAGGAGAGCAGTTTGTCTCACTTGGCCTTGGAGTAAAATATTTGTCAATAGTAAAGTAAATTAACTTTGGAGATAATTATTGACTGTAAGTTTTGTTATTTGTTATGTCCAGCTCGTTTGACACCAGTAAAGGTTTATTCGCGCACGTGGTGAATGAACATGTGCCTCGTGATAGCCTGGTCATGTCTTGTATGTGGGAAGGCTGTGCGCCTGTACGCCGTTCACGATCTTCTCTTCTCTTTCATCTTCAGGTGAGCTGCTTAACAAGGTTTTCCTTTATTACAAACATCAATTGAGTGTCAAGCAAGGTCGTTTATAATCCAAAACGTCGTGTGTTAGTAAAGCGAGAGTATTAAAATTTACTCGCCTTTTACTTAGTTTTGCATTCCGGCCACTTCTGAAGTTTCGTCGTGACTTAAAATATGCTCCTCAAAACCCGCGAAATCCTATTTCCTACCTCATGACAGTTAATGGCTAACAGTTTCTGAACGCAAATCTAGGTTGTTACAATGGTCAAAAGCTACATGTAATGTTTTTTCTGTCTTTAATCCCAGCAAAAACACAGTGAGCCTTCGCCAGTTCCCAGTCCTCTTCCACCACAGCAAGCTCAACACCAGTCTCCCCCTGTCCAACCTTCTCCTCCTCCTCCTCCTCCTCCTACGGCCCAGCCTCCTCCACCGCCCACTCCTTCGGCTCAGTCAACGTCATTTGTCCCAGCATATCACTTCTTAGCTCGTATGTTACAGTCATTACAGGTAAGTTAACAGTCCGTGTTTTTTGTTCGGTATTGTTCATAGACCGCCATTAGTAAAGTGGCAAGTGTTAACTAATTCTCAATACGGTTTTATGTTTAGCGTGCAGTCGCATGGCTACAGGGATCAACAGGCTTGGTCGAGATTACTAAAGAACAAAAAGATGCGAAAATTCTGAACAGAGAGAGCATTTAAAAAGTAATGAAACCTGAAAACGGTTAAGAAAAATAATACAGCAACAAAGGCAACAGAGAAAGACAGGCGTTTTGTCTAAACCCGTTGCATGTTGTGTTGACGATGACTGTCTTCGTAACTGTATAATAAATCATTAAGTTCTGTTTAAGTGGTGTTAGTTTTGTCCTTGTTGTAAGCAAGTATGTCTGTTTACCAGGGTGAAGAGGAATCACCGCTGACAAAGTCAGTACGATTAACTGCGGCGCTTGTTCTTAGAAACGTGGCCCAATATTCAGCCTTGGCTAGAAGGTGAGTGACAGTGAAAGCCAATTTCTCCCGAAAACATCACGAGAAAGATCAGCAGACAGGTTATTATGAGATAAAGAACCCGTATCATAAACACACGAACAGTTCAGTAGCAACAACCAATTTATTTCTAAACAACAAAGAATCATTAATTGAAATATAAATTGTGCGTTTATCTCTCGGATCTTAGACATTGTAGCGCGCTGTGGACTCGATTTCCGCCGTTCTCTCGTGTCCGGTCTCTTTCCGGGGAGTAGCGCGGGCTCCTTTCCCGAACAGCGGTTGGTAATCGAGCCTAATCATGCTGGGGCCCCATTTAATTGTAAACCAGTTTCATAGTTTCGTGGTATTTCTTTCGACAACTGTTAAACAGTTAATTTTTGTTGTAGGCCTGTTTTTTTTCGCTGGAACAAAGAGATTTAAGTGCTGTTTTTGTCTGACTTGCAGCTTGTTGAGGCGTCATGAGGGGCACCTGTCACTTGTGGCCATGTCCAATTCAGAAGCTGCTAATGCTGTGGCGGCTTGTCTGTCGGAACTCTCTCCACACAGAAAGCCTTCATCTGACGACTCGGACACCTTGATCTGGGCATTAAACAGATGATAGCTGGCTTCCAATGTGTCTGTGCCTTTTTGGATCAGAAATGTGACATTTTAAACAAGAATAAGTATAGAATATACCAAGAAAATGGATCGCATTAGTTACCCAAGCGCGAGCCTTCAAGTTTAATGTTCGATCTTTTGCCAGTGATACGGAAAATAATTCGGTAAACGTTCTAGCCTAAAATGAGAGACTTGCTTGTAGTCTCGTTTTGTTGAAACTTGGATAGTAGTTTCTTCGGTTTTCAAAATCCTATCTTGTAATGTTTACAAGTCACGTGGGAGAGAGATGCGTCGTCACGCAATGTTGTTTGCATAGGTCACGTTAGAAACATTGCGTTACGAGTTGCAAACAGAGTATAACGTTATCAAAGACGTGGAATATTTCTTCCCAAGTTACTGTATAATAAGGACAATGAATTGAAACAGAATATTCTCCGTTTATTTAGAGTAGCAGGTTATACATGATTAAGTAATATAATTATTTGTACAGTTGCCATGTGGTATAAATTCCTCCACTGTTTGACCTTTACATTCTTGATTTGACAATTAGCTTTTCGCCGGATTGTAATCTAATGAAGAAAAATAATTATTGACCAGTCTCATAGAAGTTTATTGCTGTTCCTTTGGCGTGTTGGTTTGTGGTATGAAATGGTGCATTAGAAAAATGTATCTTCATCCACTGCGATGACTTATCACTTTTTAACATTAACAAATCTTTTTCTACGGTACATTGTATCTTGTTGGTAATGTTAAGACTTGGAGCAAGATGCCGTTTGCTCGTACTTTCATCACTTTTTCTCATTCATGTTTGTATATAATCATTTTGCCTTATTTATACGTGATAATATATTGTACATAGAGTACAAATATGCTTCTTTGGAACTAAAAACACTCCACTAGTCGCTGGATTTCCTGTAGCTTAAAATATTTAAAGAAATCGAAATCCTACTTGGTGTCAATTTTTTACCTCGTTCATCGCTTTGAAATGGAAAAACTATCGCTACTTCTTTACTCAATAAACTTTTTTGTACCGTCACGTTTTGTGGTGTTTCCTGTTGTTTTCTGACAAGAGTTAATGAGAAAAATCATTTTCTCTTGTTTCTGACGAGAAGGACAAATTACTGTCTTCAAAATGGGGAGTTCGACATTTGAAGAAGACGAGACAAAATGATCTCGTACACACCAAAACACGGCTTACCCTGCGAGCAGTGTCACTTAAGGGTCACGAGGAGGGCTACTGTTTTCTGTTGTTTTGGGAGAATGGAATAGTAATTCTGCTCGTAGTGTGAAAACGCTTTGGATGTGATTCTGTCAGACTTGAGAAGTGTTATTGTTGACTGTGTAGGCCATCTCTACAGAACTCCAAAGAGGCTCTGGATGGGGTTGCTCAGTTACTCTCAGTGATGAGTTAAACGTTCGGGATTTTCTCAGCCATCTGTCAAAATTTCAGCCCATTCCTAAGCTATCAGTAGAGATTTCAGCCCATTTCTCAAATATCAGCAACTTTTGCAAATCTCAGATCTTACTATCAGTTTAAAACGCTTCTTTCTCGGCTGACAGTCAAAATTTAGACGAAGGGTTGGACCCGAACCAGACCATCAAAGGAGAAGCCGACGAGATGCAATAGTGTGACAATAGTATGCACTGGTATTACAAACATTTATATCACAAATTCAGATCGAGTTCTTTCGAAATTCCTGTTGTGCAAAAAAAGAAACGACTGCTTGGAAAAAGTGCTAACTAGAAAAAAAGACGGGGAACCGCCATCTCTACAGAAACCCGACTATAAATTTGTCACAAGTCTTGCCCTTCAAGTCATTTATTTTTTATTGTATTAATATTAGTATTAGTACAGTTT